GTGGCTCTAGTAATGGTGTGGTTCTAGTAATGGTGTGGCGTTTGTAATTAATGGTGTGGCTCTTATAGATAATGGTGTGGCTCTAGTAATGGTGTGACTATAGTAATGGTATGGCGCTTGTAGTTAATGATGTGGCGCTTGTAGTTAATGGTGTGACTCTTGTAATTAATGGTGTGGCTCTTATAGATAATGGTGTGGCTCAAAATATCTAAGGACGATTTTGTATAGCTGATGGGTTGTCAATGTGCATTCAAAAAATGTATTTCAATAGGACAATTTCACCATTTGAGTTATTCCACTGATATAGAACAAAACTTGACATGGAATTGCTCACCAAAATACTACAAAGTGTAATGACATTTGGTTAAAAAGGTTTATATTGTGGCTCAAATGATCTCTGGACATTTTTTATCAAAAGGCTGCCAGTGTAAACATATGTTCCAAACTTCTATTTTATTTTAATCAAAAGATTTTGTAGGACGGTAATGTACTTTATCAATTTATATCACTCATATAGAACAAATGGGAAATTGCTTTCGGACATGGCTCTTATTGTTGATGACGTGGTTCTAATAGTCTTAGATCATTTTTGTGTAGCTCATCACCTGCTTATATATATTCCCAATCTTTTATATTAATGTGACAGTTTGGGAGAAATACCTTGCTCTTCAACAATTTCAGGTGATACCACCCCAATACAGTTTGATGGAATTTCAATGCATAAATGTTTAATTTGAATGGAGAAATTTGGAACAAAAGTATTGCACGTTTACCATTTGAGTTATGCCAGTAAAATTAAGAGCCAATCTTGAAATGATCTTTGACAGTAGTTAAAGTTGTGATTCAAATGATACCAGTGTATTTTCCTGTAACTTATTTCCATGTGATAATTTTGGAGAAAAAATATTGTTCTTCGCCCATTTAATGTGACTCACTCACCTATTTACATATAATGTAGCACCGCATGAAATGCACTGTAGACATGGCTGTAAGGGTTTATATTGTGGCTCCAATGATCTCAGGGCATTTCTGGGTGATTAAGAGGCTGCCAATGTGTGTATACAATTGGGGTTTTATATAAATATATATAATTGTGGAGAAAAATGTTGTACTTTATCGATTTGAGATATCCTACTAATATTGAACAAATCTTGAAATGGCTCTTAGAGTTAAAATTGTTGCTCAGGAAATTTTTGGTGTATCTCATGGCCTGCCAACATTCATGTATATTCAAATGTTTAATTTCAGTGTTATAATGTTGGGGAAAACATCGTTCTTGCACCATTTTTGTGACCCACTAATAAAGTGAAATGATCTTTGGTCTAAGATTCATTGTTGTTACGCCAAAGATCTGAGAACATTTTTGTGCCGCTGATAGCGTGTAATTGTATTAAACATTTGTAATTTTAAGAGAGTACGCGGTTTTCTCTTTATTGCACCATTTAGAATTTCTGCGGAATTTCGGCATTCCTTATACAGAAGAGTCTACTTCATTTCACATAAGGTGATAGGTAAAATTATAAGGCAGTACCTTTTGAAGTTGTTGGGGTCTTCACAACTGTTGTCACCTGAACTTTAAGAATGATGAACAAACACAACACGTGGACATGTTATTTGTTTAGCTGTAAATGAGATATAATGAAGATTGAGAAATGGCTCTAGTAGATAGGGATTGTTTTCCGCCTTGAACGAAGATGTTTGTACCTTACTGTTAGAGATCTCTTGAAAACCTGTAAGGGAGAAGAAAATATATGATCAAGTTGCAGGAAATGGATAAATCGAAAGTTAAATAAGGCTCTTTTAACTTGTTTTGAGAAATAAATGTCAAGTAAGGAAGGAGAATCAGAAAATTTATTACTGATAAAAAATACATTGATTACATTGATTTAATGAAATGATAAAAATACAAGTGTAATGTACTCTATTAAGAAGCCTACATTACCCAACAAGTTAGATATGGTTTGACCGAATTTCTTACATTCGAAGTGAAGGAATAGGATTTTCAAGGTTAAATGTTACATTGATTTTCCCACAGAAATTCACTTATTTAGAAGTGACCCGACCAAAAGGAATAGGATTTTCAAGGTTGCACACATGTTAGAACATTGATTTTCCCACAGCCATACATATATAGGTCAATACAAGTCAGTACTGTATTGTCAAATGAGAACAAGGTAAGCAACAACGGAATGAACAGGCAAACTGACCAACATTAAGCACGTGCAACTTTATGTCGCACAATAGAGAATATTTCTTAATGTGATCACTGTATGACCGTAAAACATCCACACAGTTTTATCAGCCTCTTATGAATATATATGTCAGTTGAGGACACTTTGCACAAAAATTGAACATATCCAAGGACGATCATATCACTGCAGCTAGTAAACCGCCAATCCATGGCAGTGATAACTTACAGTTTACGGTTCCGAAGCATGTGCAGCATTTTGCATCCTGCAACCTTGTCTTCTGCAGACACCGACCTTCTACGTCCGTTATCAACAAAATGTAACGTCCAAGGGACAGACTTCTTATATGAAGAATTTCTCTTTTTCAGTGTAATTTACAAATTCCTATCAGAAAAGTCCAATTGGGTTTAGGGCTGTCTTTGACGAACACGTTCTTACTGAAGTACGTGGTTAAGATACAACCTCTTGGTAACTAGTTGTGCTCGATTGTAATGACAACGATGAGGATGTATATTTCTACTGTACAGAATCCTCTTGGTGAATAATCAAAAGCGTACCACACGACATTTAACACTTTCAGCAATCCAAATATGGACAGATCAACATTAGCTTGGTGCAAAAGTCGCCCCACCCCATTATCCTAAATCATTCAAAAAAAAAAAAAAAAAAAAAAACACGTATTATCGAAATCGGATATTAGAGACTATGGAAAGTATTAACGTTCTTCTTAAAGTCCTTAAATAAAAATACTACGTGAGCATCACTGTGTTATATTTACTCTGCAATCTAGATATGTCTATGTATAAATCAGAAGAATTTGATCCAATTTAAGGTGTGCTCAATTTGTTTGTCAAGTTTATATTTATCGAAAAATATCGAATATGACGACCGCTGGTAACATTGACCAAAATGCGCATCAGTAATTCCTTGCTTCCTAATTGTGCAGATGGTGTATATATCAACCATGCTTCTGCTGCTGCAACATTTACTGTCATTCCTGTCAATATAACTTATATATATATATATACACAACAGTAAACTATATACAGTCTGATTTTTTCTGTTGGGTCTTCAACAAGAGATCTCGGATGATCTCGGCACCAACCGTCCTAAGTTCATTGGTTATTTCCTTCCCCTTAAAAGTTATTTTTTCCTATAAGCCATTTTTTCTGTTTGTAATGGCTCCAATGTGAGACAATGCGAAGATATTTCAACTGCTTTTATAAACAGCAATAATGAGATCTTACGCAATGTGCAGGAAATCATAAATTTTCTGATCACAACATAAAGTTACTCATTACGAATTCTTTTGGTTAAAAATTAAAGCAGCTGCATAGATCTGGAGTAAATAGCATTTAAAAATACATAATGATATTAAAATAATTGCCAATAATTAAAAAACTTGCAAAGATTTTGATCAAAGAAGTTTGATTGAATCTTCATTACAATGCTGACATATTCTTTAAAGCAATACATCATTAATCAAGTGGAACCCAACCCAACCTTATTCTATGCAATTGCGACAAAAAATGTAGGCCATAAGAAGGAAATAATTTCTAATTCACCCAACAGGGTCGGATTTAGTCTATCCGATGTCTTCTTTTGGCTTTGTTAGGGCTTTATTACAAATGAGCAGCTGTACTTTATACTTCAGACAATCATAGGAGGACATGAATGTTGAAACCCTGGTTTTCAAACGGGACATCATCAAGGCTATGTATGGGATATTGCCATGATCGGGAAGAGTTTAAAATTTTCGCGAGCGTAAAACAATTTTGATTTGCATCTATCGTGTCCATAACATAGAATGGTTTTTTCTACCAGGATCTCCAAGATATCTCTACATTTGTGTGTACGAATAGATATATACAGTGCCTTTCTATATCTCAGACATAGAGAAGGGCAAAAATTATTAATACTGATCTAGTCATTCATGATATGTATATGTAACAATATATGTCAAAACGAAAACTGCTAATTCTGAATCACTTAAAAAATTTGATCAACTATCACATTGTTCGTGAAAATGTGGCGATAACTACAGATAATATAATTAATCAATATAAAACAATATATTGTTACTATGGTAACGTTCCATGGGCCATCGAGTATAAAAAACAGAATTTCCGTGTGGGATATTGACATTGGTAGACAGTAAATGTTATGTACTGTAAACAACCCGTCAATCTGGAAACTCATAATGACTAAGGGATGACTGTGGGTTTTGGGATAGTATAAGGTGTTTGGAGGAAGAGAGATGATCCCTGCATCACCACACCGTCACAACTGAAAATTCAAAATCTCGAGAGGGTACTTCACATTGTAAATACTGCAGTCGGTTGTGCCCGTGAGATAAGGCTTGGAGTCTGAGCACATAAGCACAGACTAGTACGAACCTCACGTCGACAATGATATCGAGGACCATTGATGGAGGTAGAGTTGTATATATACACATACATGCACAAGTGTTTCAATATTTAGACACATTTGCAAGCTTCATCATATATGTATATATATAGTGTCTAATATACCAGGGTGATGGTTTGCCGCACACAACAAAGCCCCTTAATCCCCATGCATTTACACATCAACAAGTGGGCAGGCCTAGTGCTGGACAATCTACACGAGATACGTAGATGGTTTCCTGTCAGCCACTTGAGTTTCCCTTCGTATGCATTGTGCTGATAAGTCGCCGTTTCCTTTCGCCGAAGCCCTAGCTACGTCGACCGCTTTGGTGTATCAGTATTAGTAGTTTTTCATAAAATAACCTCTAAACATGCTACGTCAAACACCGCTCAAGTAGTTTACATACAAGAGCCGGACAATTTCCTTGTTTTCCTCGTTCCTACATCGGCACTTTCTCAGATTTCTTTGGAATGGTGAGTACGCCGTTTTATGCAATGCCAATGTCAGGAAATGTGTTTCACCTGCTTTGCTGTGTGTAATTGAATCTATCGCAGTTGACACTGTCGCCCGGTCGTGTCGTGTTAGATTGTTGACTACTTGAGCGACTTCCCCACACAGGAACGATCTAGTGTATAGGAAAAGCAGTATAGGAAGTATGGAGTTGAAAACCTCCGTTTTGGGCTCACTATATGAAAGAAATCTAAAGCACAGAGAAAGAATCATATTCCGGTCAATTTTAAGATTTTGATATACAATTATGCATGACTTATCAAATTGATGTTGAGCTACGACAGTGAACTACGACGGAAATACTCAATCTATATACGAATGTTTTGTTTATAAATCGCCATGGGTGATAACCCTTCTACTTTTTTATTTATCTGTTAAACTTATGTACATATAACCACGTTGATTATAAATTTATTGTTAATATTCGAATCTTAACAACTTTTGGTGCTTTTCTTTTGGCCTTTGGTTTTGCAACAAATTCATCAGTATGACTTTGATATGACTCGTCTTTTTGTACCTTCCGATGACATGAAGAAGATCAATGCACAATATCGATAATCATGGTTTAAATTGCACTCAACATATAAGGAATTATCATTGTTTCAAGTCTACAAAAGTTTAGTTATCCTGGTAGCAAGACAAGGATCATTTTGATAGTACTGGTACAATAAAAGAAGCAGGTATTGACGTCTGTGTTAGTAACCAGTTTATCATATGTAACTGAACAAATGTTATCTAATTATTTGATAATTTACTACCAACAAAATTAACGAATGGTCTGATAACCATTTAAACCGATTCCTGATGTATTGGTATATTTCAAAATTTCTTCTAAACTTCTCGTTAGAAAAAAAATCGCCGGTTTCGAAATGTTATTAAAGATAAAATCAAAATATGACTATGACTACCTTAAAAAAAATTACAAAAAATATAGGTAGAATTATGTATATATTTACCATTAGATAATACCACTAGAAAATACTTATCATGAATTATAATCATTTCATTTCATCGACAAGTCATATAATTATTAATGTAGGTTTTTACTAGATTTAAGTTGTAATAAGTAACATAATTTATTTCTCCAGGATCCAACGGTATGTAGAAACTCACCGTCACCGGTTCAACATTCCCTAACACCGGTCGACATAGAGAATTGTGACGTTGAAAGCACATGTGCATCCGAGGACCACGAAGGAGATATAGTAGAAACGGCAGCATCTGATATACAAAACGGCAACTCGACTACATATACTGATTCCAGTGGAACTATTCCGAATTTAACAGAAATACCCGGAAAACAGTCGTCAATTAATGTAAAGTTGGAGCCGGGACTCGTAACCGACTCCGTGGTGGGTGGGGTAGACGTACCTCTTTGTACTCCTGCGGTAACCTGTCCCACACAGTGGGGTGGCTACTCTGTTACGACTCCTGAAACTTTGTATTGTCAACCACTAGTCAACGCTCAATACATTGACACAAATTCCTCCGTAGGTTCGTTTGATTCTGGGCGGTCAGCTTTCGAACCCCCAGCCCCAGCTCCCCCACTCGTTACCACACCAAAAAACAATGCTGGTGTAGGCACGGGTTACCCTATCGTTTCTGATAATGGTACGAGTGCCGTTGGTGATCCCATGCTTCCACGTGTCACCGATATTGACGAACTAAACCCGTTTGATACAACCGCCATGCAAGCTGCATCAACTGCAACTTACAACAATGCTTACAACAAGTATTCCACCCAGACTGTAAAACAGCACCTGTATTCAATGGAACCTGTCAAACCTCCCTCTCCTTCCCAGTACCAGCGCACGTGCTCACCTTACGATATTCCCAACAAAAACCTAAGCAACGAACCCTTCAATCTCACGTGTCCCAGATCGCGATCAGAGAGCACGGGAAACGACGTTGCTCATCAGGAACAATCCAAGAAAGTCATTGTTCCGGCAGGTAGGTGTCTACATTTTAATTCCAGAACGTTACAAGTATATGTGTATTTCCAGATCATTTCAAGCTTTGCAAATACTATGGGGATTTTTTGTTTTCCTGTAGATAAAGGATCACATGTTCTTAATGATTTTGAATATAAAGGTGAATATTATTTTTAGTGAACACGTTTATGCCGTCTTTAGATCGCATTATTGTGGTCTTACTAATCTAGAGTTCATGAAATCATGATTAAATTATCTAATTTGAAATGAACCTAACCAATGAAGTACAATGTATATATGGCATATACAAACAGGAAATATTTCTAAGAATCGAAAACATGGACTAGCATATTTACTTGAGGAACAAGTTCGATGATAATATTCATTTATTTCTGAACACTTGGCCCCTAACTACAGGTGTATGCTTTGGTTTTAACGGTTCATCTATATTTATTTGTCTTTTACTGTATTGCAACGGAAGGTGCTATTGTCTCGCGTTCCTCTTATATCATTGTATGAAATGATTTACATTGATTTATTGAAAAAGAATGTATAAGGTATTGGAAACAATTTGACTTTATATATATATATATATATATATATATATATATAATGGATGTGAGCTATAACTGTAGATTACAAATTACAAAAATAAGGAACATTTGTTTATTTTTTACCAACTTTCTAGTCTTCTGGAATGCTGAAGTGGTAACTTGAACTATTTATTACACTGTTTTGTTGATCTAATTGTTGTGGATGTCGCATGTGATGGGCTACTTCCTATTGGTGGTTTGGTATACACTACGCAGATTGGTGTGGGTTTGTCTTTGTTGGATATCGCGGGGTTACAAATGCTTATATTGTGCGTATATTTTGGTTGTTTTATTTTATTGTAATAAACGGGTGTGATCGTTTCAGGGCGTACAAATATCAAACCTGCTTATTGGTCTGAATTGTTTTACAAATACAAACAGTATTTACATGCAACTAAAGTTTTTAATTCCTTTCAAATTATTCACCATAATAGGGCTGAAAATTAAGATACACCTGGCATTGATATTTTGGGGTTGTGTTCGTATACGCATGTGTGTAAAAGGATATTGATAACACAATACGAATTCAATATGTTTTTATTTCAGTTTTAACAAAATATACTACAAAATCAATATGTCATTCTTTGTTTACTATGTTTACAATGCAGGCTGTGTAAGTTAATCTCTAATTTTAATCTAGATTCAATATTCTTAACAGTGTCGATAAAGCTAATAAACAAAACACCTGGAATGAAAGTCGAATAAAATTGTTTGCGGGGAATCTCTTATATATGAGAAATTATTAGTGAAAAACTAATATCTCAGGGTTGAACAATTTGCATATGAAACCTAGTACATTCTGTTGACTTTGTGTTTTCAGATACTAAATATTAAATCTTAAAGTTATTCCATCTCCCAAAAAGTGTCGATATTTTTAAAAAAAATGTTGTAATATCACAATTAAAAAGAGTTTAGGTTTTTGTGACGTCTCAATATGCATTATCTGTTTTTATTTTGTTATTTAACACCGCTCTCGAATTGCTCATAACAGTCACAACATTATTTTAGCTGATATGTTTTGGTACGGCATTTAATTATTGACGATAGAATTCATTTGGACGGTCTGTATATAGTGTTAAGTACATTTTAAAAAGTATGACTTTTTCACGTCGGATATACAAGGTTATACAACAACTACTTGTTATAGGATGATCAAACGGATAACATTAAAGCCACGAGTTTGTGAGGCTCGTTTGTACCATAATAAACCAACTAGTTTCTACCACAATAAAAAGAGCTATTACAATGATAAATTGACCTGTTCTAGATTCAGGTGTGTTTTGTTCAGGATAATTATGCAACAATTACAGTTTCATAAGTACGTAGACATATGATTATTTATTACATATGAAAACAAGAAAGAACGGGTTTATCAAACTTACAAGTTAATAGAATTTCAAATATAAATCAATATATTACGAAAGTAAACGTAAACTACTTTGTGCGCGGTTTAATTTCCGTGATGACGTGAAACACCCTTCCGATCAAAGTCATTCGTCCGTGTCGCCTATCAATACGCCTTAACAGTTTATTCTAATGCACGTGTGGTACAAATGTTTATTCTTGTAACTGATTAATTGAGGTAGAAATAATATTGTATAATTACACTCCAAATTTTAAATCTTTGGTATAATAAATGCCTACAGATAACGCTATTACTTAAAGGTAAATCTTATTCAAACACGATGAAGTTAACGCTTTGCATGAACTTGTGTAGATTGTAGTTGATGTCCTTTATAAACTGTTGCTATTTAACATTACTATTGTAATACTAATTATAATAAGGTAGGCGTTATATAATCTTAATACATAATGAACGTAATGTGTATTAGATAGTGGGTATCATCATCCAACATGATTAATCTTTGTCTATACGCTCGTCAAACATGTTGATAGAAATATTAGGGAGTAAAGTTGTTTTTTTTATCGTAAACTCTCAATTGTTCTGAGATTCAAGTTTTCAATTGACTTCTTTCAAACTTTGTAGGGATATTCGACATAAAAAAGTTACATTTTTTTCTGAAATCCAATTGGGTGTTACTATATTTGGAAGAGGAAATGTTTCGTTTTTTTCTTGACGATAATAACATTCGGTGATATCTCTTTCTTCCTAACTTGGTAGACTTTATAACTAAGTCATGAAATCGTGTTTTAATCGATACGATTGAACTATATTTGGAAGAGTTGTTGCACTTTTTTCAGAGTCGTTTTCATATTTGTATGCATTTGTATATTTGTATTTAAATATTTTTCATTGATATGTTTAAAGTCATTCACGTGTAGCTGTTTAATATATTGAAAATTGGCAGTGTTTTAAAATAATCCAGTATATAGAAAACTGTTCAACAACAGAAAAGTAGGATTAGTACGTCTTCCCTTTTGTTGTTTGACATTTCGGTCGCTTTTAATGTTCGCTCCGAGTTGTCTTCTAGGTTTCAACAAAACAACAACAAAAAAACAAATGATTTACTCTGAGACCCCTGAAAAGTATTTATAAGGAAAATAAGATACCACTGACGAGGTCCCAAACAACTGTTTTCTGAATTTTTTATTTATAATTTTGCTATAGTGTATAGAATCCTATATTTGTATTGAAAGTTGTTACTTTCTTATCTATTTATTATTTATATATTATACAACTATATCTGTTTAATTTGTATACTAAGGTTAAGTATACCTGTTATACAGTTTGATTGTAAAAACATGTCGCCTTTTACACAAAGTCCAATCCATCAGATATATGCAATATTCGCGAATGAAATATTTGGTACGATATGTGAAGACAGTCTTGGCCTAATCTATATCAACTTTCTGTGTCTATGTTTAACTATAAAACCATCCATGGACTACATTTTAGATTTATAACAGGATCGCCTGACAAATTATAGGTATTAAATTTAGTTTTGATTCAAGTAAACTTCCTGTTTCTAATTTAGGTATCATTATTATGAGGTTTTAATAGCCATCTAATTCTACGTTCAATCGATCTGTAAATAAAATCGTATATTAAAAAATTTATGAAAATATGTTGTTTGAAAATGTACTCAAATATTATTTTCATATTTTATTTCGGTCTAAACATTATCAATATTAATAGTATTTTGTGATATTCGTTACTTTTTCCCTTGGTAATAACGCTGTTGGGCTCTGTGTGTTGTGTTTTAAATAATATTTTATTCTTCCTCGTTGCTTTGACAAAGTCATAACAAAAATATCTTGTAGATATAAGGCAAAGTAATAAGTAGCGTTTCGATAATCTCTGAAATTGAAATAGAGCTTTGGTTTTGTATGTGCTTTCTTTTACCATTTTTCTGAAGATGCGTCGAATTGGCGTCGACATGAGAAAAAAATGAATTCGATAACTCGGTCGTATCATAACAAAAGGATTACGTGTAAGACAAGATAACGGAATCCATAGGTACTAAAATCTGCCCATGAAAAATTACATTTTTTCTAGAACATATCTGTGATCTTATCGCAATCTCAAACGTCATTGCAGCACCCCCTTGTGTTTCTTTATTGTACAAGACTGTCTAAACAAGATATCACATTTTGTTGCAATGTAATAAGAAACCGCCTTTGGAATTATATCTAATAAACGGCCATATCACTTCTTCGTAAGTTACATGAAGGAATAAATTTTCCACAGTAGTTATACATATGAATTGGTTTTTTTATCGTAGGAGAAAGGTCAGCCAAATCCTACAGAGATATACATTGCTATACTTAAAGCCGAATTCTAATTGACAACGTTTTTAAAATCGATATTTTGTTGATTTAACAGTAACAAAATGTGAAAATCTGATGTCATATAAAGTCACAGATATGATAACCAGCACACAGAATATTATGTTTATTGTCTTTGCATATAATTATGTTTATTGTAGATGTAACGGCTTTATAGATGTGTACGAGAATAACGAAAAGAGATAGTAGCATATTTAATTTCGATAACTTTTAATAAGATGTTTATATATTTTTTGTTTTACAATTACAGTTTAATCATATAGAAATGTAGTGTGATATTCTGTAGATATGAATATTCTGTTGATGTTCTGATATCGACAAATCACGTTGTACACAGCCAGATTCGACATCCGGCCTTTCATCCGCTTCAGGATGATTCACGTTGTACCGATCTGTCGATACATTGTGTCATGTCCGTGTGGAGGTCATGTGTCCGTGTTTCAATGATCAAAGAACTGTTGAACGGCTACAATTACAGCCATATAGTTGATTACTTTTATTATCAAAACACCATAGGAATGCATCATAATATGACAATTTTGAACACAACATTAAGAAACACATCTTAGTAAAAATTCATATCATGAAAACGCAACTTATAAAAAGGGTACTGACTAAAATTTTGTTACCTAGGGTGGAGACTCTCAGGATGATATATTACGATTGGTGGACTTTAAAT